CTGAACCAACATGTTGATGTAGAAATTCGCATGCCTTTGCAACAGAGTCAATTCTTTCTTGTCTTTAAATTTGAAGAGGAAGCCTTTGGGAATATTCCATCTGTAGGGAACTTTGTTTTTCTGTAAAAACAGTGCCAAGTCTCTATTTCTTTCTCTTTTTCCTTATTTCAAATGGGATATGCTTCGTGACCTTAATTTCTTTGTCTTTGATCTTCAGGGTGGTTCCATTTGTTGCTTTCAATACTTGGTCTATTACTTGTCTCCTGGGGAATCTCACCACAAGCTCGTATTCTTTCTTATATAATCAGAATACGATCTATAGATCATGTCTATTGCATTTTGTAAAAAGTCCGCTTTTAAATCTGCAACCAGACCCCATAAGTCACAAATACTCTGATTTCAGTCTTCTCCTCTTGCTTCCAGAATCCCCTGGAATCTTAAGACATAGCTTGCTTTTTCCAGTTGCAGCTGTAGAAGTTGTGCCTCATCAGTTGCTCACTTTTTTTCCATCCCGTTCATCTGTTTTTGAAGCTTTTGTGTGTTGGCATCAACTTCTTTAAGCTCTTGCTCCGTTTTTTTCTTTTTAGTATTTTCATTTAGTTGGCTTTGTTGTGAGTCGAATTTCGCATGTAGTGGCATCATTTGTTCCAGCAGAGGGCGCAAAGCCTCAGTCAGCATACTTTGGAAGTCTATAGTAGTGTCCTGTTTAGGACCAGAACTTGCTGGGCTGGCATTTCCAGCAGGGAACTTCAGTTTTGATTGCTTGTCTTTCTCCTCCCTCCTCGGAGGCGCCATGTTTGGGAATTGTTTACTTTTTAAGAAATGTTATCAAAGTCTCTGGAGCCTTTAGAATCGCTTAGTAAGTTCTCAAAAGTTCTTTATTTTAGTCTATTTGCTTTTACAGTCTGCCCCCCCCCATAGCTGCGTTTATCAGACCACTTTTTCTTTTCGAGAGGGAGTCCCCCCCCCGTTCTGATAAGGGGAGGTTTTCAGTCTGCTTTTCTGGAGTCTTCGCTTAAACAAACACTCACTTTTCCATGTAGATCTCACCCTTCACAATTACCTCACCTGGCCGCCAAGCGCTTGTCCCGGTGTGCATCCCCGTGTCCATTTCAGAAATCAGTGGTGGGACCGTCGGGGCAGGGAGTAGCCCCCCCTTCACCAGCTGTTTGCCGGAGAAAGAGGTCTCCAAGCGCCGCATGGCTAGGAGCCCATCGCTAGGGCTCCGGGGGGGGATGTGGACGATTGTACCCCCTCCCATCCACTGATTCACAGCCCGCGTCTCCCGGAGCTCCGAGAGATCGCAGCCGCCATTGAGGGAGCCAAAACCCGGAAGCCACCAAGCTTTTACTCTTGAAGCAGCCCTTTGGCCTTTCCACTTCTTTAGGAATCCTGCAGTATAAGTGTGAGCTTCTGGAAATTCCAGTTCTTTAGCCAGGTTTTCGTGAAACTGGGCTTTGAGACAGATACAGTCCCCTTTAAAACATTCCCTAAAAGCCAGGCTCTGAGACGTATAAAGTCTCCTGACAAAATCCCTCCAGTTTCACTCTCTGAAGGCTCAGACCCTATCTGACAAGAGGTGACAATGTAACAGATTTTTCTTTTTCACTGTCTCTCCCATCTGGCTCTTGCAGCTTTCCATTGGTCGTGATTGGCTGTTAGCTGCTTTGTACACACACACCAAACAGAGCCAGTTTGGTGTAGTGGTTAAGTGCGCGGACTCTAATCTGGGAGAACCGGGTTTGATTCCCCACTCCTCCACTTGCACCTGGCTGGATGGCCTTGGGCAAGCCATAGCTCTGATAAGGAGCTGTTCTTGAAAAAGAGCAGTTTCTGTCAAGAGCTCTCTCAGCCCTACCCACCTCACAGGGTGTCTGTTGTGGGGAGGGGAAGGGAGAGGAGTTTGTAAGCCGCTCTGAGACACCTTTCGGTAGTGAAGGGTGGGGTATAAATCCAATCTCTTCTCTTCTTCTCTTCTTCAAACAGGCATATAGGGGACTGGTGACTGATCGAAGGGGGCAGGTTCATTGCCCATCCATGACACCATTATTGCTTTCCACTGATGGATCACTGGACTCAACCCATGTGCAATAAAAAAACCCCATATGCAGTACTCTTTAGTTGAACTTGAGTTTTTTCCCACCATAAACTTGAGCATGTCTCTTCATTCATGCATACTGGCGTATAGACAGTTACTAGTAATTTTGCTGTTTTTATTTTTTCAGCACATTTTGGTTTGTTTTTTCCCAGTTACTGGTGTAATTGTTTTTCATTTTATAGGATGGCATAGTGATGGTGAACAGCCTCTAAAACACAATGAACAGACCCCTGGTGAAGTTGTAAATCAACTGGCAATGGCAATATGTCTGCAGGTTAGTAAGACATTGCACAACTTGCTTTAGATCCCAAAATACAGAGGTTTGTAAGCCTCCAGGGAAGGGCTGTGTCCAGGCCTGCCCTAGCTCAGCCTGCACGCAGGAAAAAAACTCTGAAGAAGAAGAGGAGCTCCCCTTGGTTCCCGCTATGCCCAAGGCTTTGTGGACTCTGCAAGCTCCAGGGAAAGACGTCATTCCTCCGGTCCAACAGCAGACTCCTGGTCAAGTTCCCTTGGAACCAGCAGACCAGGAACCTGTCCACCTCTTGCACTGTCTCTCCCAGCAGCAGAACAGGCAGAGAGTCAGAGCAGAGCCTGGACCAAGCTGAGATCTGCATGCTTAGCAGCTCAGAGCTTCCAGCACTCCAGCCATTCTCAGGCATAAGATGCAGCTTTTTAAATCTTGGCAATATCAAGGACGCTACTCTAGATCTTTGCAGGATCTGGGGTCTAGCTCTAGGTTTTCTGCTGTTGAGTCTCACAGCCTTTGCTGGTTCAATATTAGCTATCAACCAGCCTCTGCTTTAGCTATGCAGACCTTGAGAAGAGCTATGCAGCTCCAGCTCTGCTGGTCTTGCCTGCCTCTTGTAGAGATTTCTGATCTTCAGCTCCTGCTCTGCTTGCCTGCCTGCCAGTGGACCTGGAGTCTTGCTGGTCAGTTTGCCAGGCTATTTAAAAATTAAGCATAAAATTGAGAGCCAGTGTGGTGTAGTGGTAGAAGTGTTAGGCTAGGATCTGGGATACCCTGGTTCAGATCTAGGCTTACCAAATTCCGGCGGGGGAATTGTATTTACTGGCAGGAGCCTCGCCGCGGGGACGGCTGCACGCGCTGCACTTGCCGTCGCCAGGATGTGACGCTCTGCGTCGCTCTGGCAACGGGACTCCAAACAGCCCCGTTGCCAGAGTGACGTGGAGCGTCACATCCTGGCAACGGCAGGGGCAGCACGTGCAGCTGTCCCCGCGGCGAGGCTCCTGCCAGGAAATACAATTCCCCCACCAGAATTTGGTAAGCCTATTCAGATCTCCATTCTGCCTACCCCACAGGATTAGTTGTAAGGGTAAAACAGAGGAGAGGAGAATGATATAAGCTGCTCTGAGTCCCCATTGTAGAGAAAGGCAGGGTACAAATAAACTAAATAAACAATTTAAAGAGCAGATAGGTCAATTTCATGTCAGAGCAAGTAATGCTTACGAAATTCTTCCCATGTTAAATTTCCTCTATATTCTGGGGGAGATAGTTATCCACTCTTGTTTCAGGAGCGGCACTGATGCATTTGTGATTCTCCACTCTTCTGTTTCTAATTTCTAATCTTTTTTCACATTACTGCTCACATGCAATCTGTCCCAAATTAGATTTTTTTTGTATGTTGTCGATACCAGCACATGTGCACCTTGATCAGACAAGAGTCTTTGTTGTGCTGTGATTTTAACCTATGTAGTTATTTACTGGTGTGTGGTAGTCACAAATAAAATAAGTGCAGTATCAGTTCAGCAGATCTGAAATTAATTTAGAAGCTTTCCTAGATAAATCGGAAGGAGGCACAGAAAATAGGTTTGGTTTTGTAAACTGAAAGTCGAAAGTGTGCTCTTAGCATTCACCCTAACGTGAATGAAAATATCTTGACAATTGTGAATAATAAAATATGGAGTTGAAAATCTTTTGCAATTGAATTAGCTACTTTTTCTTTTTGTCTCTTCTTAATAGAATCTGGTAAAATTAAGTGAGAGATGGATACAGGCCCAGCAGTATAAGAAATGGAATCTCCGTTGCTTGAAACTTCAACCCCTCTCCCCTGTTCCCAGGTAAGAAGAATACAGTACTGCTTTTACACAGTTCCTGAATTATTAACCTAAACCCAATATGAAGTGTGTTGATCTCTTTTTGCTGACCATATAACTAGTGAATAAAGGTATGCTATAAAGTGTTTAAAGTCCCAGCTCTCTGATGCATTTGCAAGATGACTAACAGTACAAAGCAGAGTTATACCCATCTTAGTGCATATACTTCAGTGGATTTAGAGGGCTGTAACTGTTTAGGATGACACTGTAAATCACTATTATTTGAACTCAGTTTTTAATTGGGGAAGGGGACATATTCGTGAATACAAGTGAGACATGGGTCTGAATACAAGTGAGACTGGCTAATCATGAGAGTCAGTTTGGTGTAGTGGTTAAGTGCGCAGACACTAATCTGGGAGAACCAGGTTTGATTCCCCACTCCTCCACTTGCACCTGCTGGATGACCTTGGGCAAGCCGTAGTTTTGATAAGAGCTGTTCTTGAAAAAAGAGCAGTTTCTGTCAGAGCTCTCTGAGCCCCACCTACCTCACAGGGAAGGGAAAGGAGTTTGTAAGATTCTCTGAGACTCCCTGGGGTAGTGAAGGGTGGGATATAAATCCAATCTCTTCTTCTTCCTATTAGTAGCAGTAAAGATGTTTCATCCAGTGACATGTCAGATAACTAAGAGACCTCTAAATCGTCTGAGGAATGATGACAGTGCACAAACAGAACATCTGAGTCATGTGTGGGGAAACAGAAGGGGGAATGTCAAGGCCAGATATCATTAGTGTAGTACTAGAGTCAGTATAATGTTGAATGCTTTCTCTGGGACCTTTATCTTGTGTTTTGCGAGTGATTTCTTAATTCTTTAAAAATTCTTTAATAGGTTAGCATTTCTGTAAGTATATAGTACTTTGAAGATGCAAAAAGTAACCCTATCATGAGCTATTCATGTATTTTACTTGTGTACCTATATTCTTCTCTCAAGGATTAGGCATAGCATGACTTGGTGTCAGGTGGGGAGGGGGGAAATTACTCTTAATCAGTGTGTTCATTACTAAAATGGGAAATTCAGAGTTACACTTCCACACAAAGCATTCACTCCAACCTAGAAACTCACCCTCTAACAGCAGGTAGGTAGATGTGTGTCGACTGTATAATTAAGGAAAGACCCATGTACTTTCTCCATATTTTTTCACTCTAGGCATTCTGAACAAGAATTCTTGTTTATCTCAGATTTACTTAGATCCTCCTGATGACCTCATTTTCCTATACTGAGAGGTGGTGGGGCTTAATCCTGCCTGGAAAGTATACCTCTCAATACTTTGGCCCTCTACAGTTATTTCTTTAGTAAGAATTTCTGGGATTTAAGCCCCCTGAAGCAGTACATTTCATTAGTCTTTTAGCCCTAATCTCAGATTTTGGATGAGTTGAGGACAGTATTTTGATAGTTATTGTTATGTATTGTGTTATATGGATAGCCTGAATTGTAGAATGAGTCTGAGCTTCAGTCACAAGTTCCATAGACTCTCAGTATCCTAAAATCAACAGCCTGATTGGCTGCCGTTGTACAATGGACCAATCAGGGAAGGCTATGACTTTCGGTGGGAACAAACCGTATTGGTCCTAAGCACTCACTTATGATTGGACCTTACTGTTTTGGGGGTGTGGTTTAGCCAGTTCCAAACTGTATATTAGTTGTGGTTGTTCTGTGTGTTCTGTGTTGTTGTGTGTTCTGTTCTAATAAAGTGAAATCACTGATTAAAGAAAGAGCTGCCTGATCTTGAGTTACAACAGTTATTCACTGGTGCTTAAAAAGCATCCTGCAAATTCTCAGAGGCATACATTCTTCCACACAAGGTAGATGCAGCAAACAAAAGTAGCTTGCATTACTGATAAAAAAAATAGAACACACGGGACTCATATTTCTCCTCCTGCCCCCCTTTCTGCCTTTTCTAGTTTTAAAGCATATTTCCTACAGCAAATGGAGGCTGCAACTAAAAAATAATATAGACCTCTGATTTTACTTACTTCTGTAATATATCTTTGGTTCTAAGAGTTAAATCCCCTTTCAGTCAGCAGGACTGACTTCTAACAAAATTGTGATGCCAGCTATGAACTGAGTGAGGCGGTAGGGATGCTGATGCCTGATACATACTTGGCTCTTGTAGGTATGGTGGGACAGTATAAACACTTGTGTGCTTCCTTCATCCTGATGGGCAATGCAGCCATGTGCGCAAAAGATTCATGGGATCTTCTCCTATAGTTTTTCAGGCAGAGTGACTGCAGCACACATTGCAATGGTAGACATGATGGGAGCAAGAGAGTATTCATGCTATCCTACTGTGCCTCCTGAGGAGTTGTGTATGAACAGCTGGAGAAGAAATTCATATTATTTTCCTGACTTGGGGAAACTTAGTATGGGGTAGTTTGAGAATTCTGCCAGCTATATGACCAAGTCTTGTTTTTATAACATATATATTAAAATAGTTTTAAAGTATTCAGCCTCACTTTTAAAAACTATTCTCTTTGGGGGGCAGGGGGGAAGCATGTAGTTTTAATGTTCAGAAACCTCCAACAGAACATACATTTCCAGATGGCTACAGGAAGGAGAGTCAATATCTGGAAGCTCTTACAGATCCAGTAAATACATTCCCAGCATGCCAAAACAGAAAACATAACCACTTTAAATACACTTAAATTAACAGTAGGTCAACCATATATGGCATGTTATGGGTTAGATTAAATAAATGTAAATATTTTACAAGTGGTAGGATTTCTGTTTGTTTGGCTATTGTAACTGCACAACTGTCTGTTTTTCTAAGTGAAACATTGGTGGCCAGATGGAAGACATCATATATTCTCATTCAGTAATATGCAATTTTATTGTGAAACAGATGGGTAATTCATTGAAAAGACTGGGAAAGCAGGATAGGAATTGAAACTGTAAACATCTGCTTTAAGCTCTGAGTGTTAATTCGAGGTCTTTCCAAAGATGGTACAGTAAAATCTGCAGGACTTCCCTTCCAAAAGTCTACATAATAAAATTCTCAAAGTAGCTGCAAACATTCTCTCCTGTCCCCATTTTTAATGTTTGTTTATTATATCCTGCTCTTACAATGTGGCCTCCCTCCTCAATTAGTGGTGAGGCCTGCACCCACTTAGCTTGAGAAAGTTTGCAGCACGGGCAGTCCCAGGCCTTTTGCTGGCCTTTTACACATGATTAGGAAGAATTCCCATGTTAGTGGCACACCATTGCTAGCAGATGTGCAACAATTCTTTGTGGTACCTGTGCATCAGGCTAATGGAAACTTGAGCCTGCGCAGAGTTTTGTTTGGAACCATTTAGAGCTAAACTGAAAGATATTTTGATGGTGACACAGTCCAGCCCAAGAGCATGCTGAGAGTGGATGGGGCAGCACCTCCAATTTGGTTCTTTTTCAACTGTCACAGAGGTTACAGAATTACAAACTTCTCTTTCCAGAGAGTTTCTTGAGCTAAGTATTTTTCAGCGTTAACTTGAGACTACTTGCAAGTTAGATCTGGAAGAAAATTCCAAGGAATCTCACTTCCATCCATTTGGCCATGCCCACTTCATCGGTGCAGTTTGTCATAGATCAGGCCTTCCTTGACAGGGAGATGGCATGCACCATCTTCTCCCTAGCACAGGAATTTCTACAGCATATAACCGCAGAGCCTAGTAATCACAGGCTTTCCCAATGACTGTGCTGTCAGCTGTTCCGTGTGCACATTGATGATAGGCATGCTAGATTCCCTAAATTGCTTGTAAGCCGCCCTGAGCCGCTTCGGCAGGAGGGCGGGGTAGAAGTTTAATTGATAAATAAATAAATATTAATGTTGCCGTGAATGGGGAAGCCCTTGTATGTCTAGGATTTCCATGTCTACCTCAGAGGAGGCTTAGGAGACTCTGAATGAAGACATCCTTATGAAGTACATTTCAAGATAAAACACTAAGCAGTTCACTTATCAACAACAACCTCCCCCCCCTACCTGAACTCAGTCTTTATTCAGCAATAGATGTTTGCTGAATCACTCTACGGTTCCTTTGTTAGCGCGATCTAACACTCCCCCCCCTACCTGAACTCAGTCTTTATTCAGCAATAGATGTGGCTTATGGATATCATAAATTGATCTCGACTTTTCACTTATATTTATTTTCCAATTATGGATCTCTGTGTTTTCTCGGTGCATATGCCGCCCTGAGCCCGTTTGTGGGGAGGGTGGGGTAAAAATGTCAAAAATAATAAATAAATATGCCTGGTTTCTGTGGTCTAAAAACAGTATTTTAGGGCTTTTTGGTAGTAGATTAAGGCCCATCAGTTTTATGATTATTTTGGAATATGAAGTACTCTGGAATGTTTTCAGAGACTTCTGAGTGCCAAATGCAAATCTTTACCTCTTAACATTTTTTTTTTTTAAAAAAAAAGACTTGGAAGCTTAATTCAGATGTAGGGTTGCCAGCCTCCAGGTGAGGCTTGGCAACCTCCCAGAATTACAGCTGATCTCCAGACAACAGAGATCAGTTCCTGTGGAGAAAACAGCTGCTTTGGAGGGTGGGTTTTATGGCATTATACTCTGATAAGGTCCTTGACCTCCCCCTAATCTCCAGGATTTTTCCGCCCTGGAGCTGGCAACAGTGGGAGGGCTTCTAGTGTCCTGGCCCCACTGCTGGACCTCCTGAGGGCACCTGGTATTTTTGGCCACTGTGTGACACAGAGTGTTGGACTGGACGGGCTGTTGGCCTGATCCAACATGGGCTTTTCTTATGTTCCTTATCACTAAACACCATGATTTATTTTAACTGTGGTTGATTTGGGAAACCAGGATTCAGCTCATAGATGCCCACTGAATCCCCGTTTGTCTTGACAAACACTGATTTCAGTGCCTTCACTCATTCCCTTGAAGAAACCAAGCTACTATTTCCCTTGATCAGATGCCAGAAAACTGCCCCACATAACCAGCTTTCTTACTGTTCACCAGTGGCACTGCAAGGGCAGTGAAGCAGAATGCTTGCTGCCTCAGGAATATTCAGTGACGCTGGCGAGGCAAGGGGATACAGATCTACCTCCCCTCCTCAGATGCTCAGGTGAAGGTACTAAAGGCTATGAGCACCGTTCTGTACACTGCCAACTCTCCATTCACAGCCTGATGTAATCGACCATATGGCCTTTTCATGAGAGACTTGAGGTTTGTTTAGTCAGGATTCCCACTGAGACGGGCAGGATGAAAGCAATTGCTGTAAGTGAGGAATATTTGGAAAGATTGTACAGGGCAGCTTGAAAATGTTTCTGGTGATTCTCTGAAGCCCTTGTCCTGAAGCCCTACATTAACAATACTTTCCCAAGATTAAAGGTAGTGTTATGTTTTCTGAGGCAACCAAAGCTGTCCTTTCCATCTGCGCCAGATACAACTGAAATGATCCACCTTATCCTAGCTGCAGTATACTCACTCCACAAATTGACATGTCTACAGTATTCTTTCTTTGCCTTTTATTTCCCTTTTAATTTTTAAATTATACCATCTCACAGCAGAGTAGTAGGGCTTGAAGGTCACATTATCAGTCCCCAGTATTACTCACAACATGTGTGTGTCTCTCAGTTGCATTTATATGAATCCCTGGACTTACCTTTGTAAGTATCAAATAGCTAAATAATGCATGTATTGTCAGAGCAAATATTAAACCAATGGGGGCTTTTCTAAAATGAAGACTATTATTACATACATTCTCTCTCTCTCTTTCTGAATTTATATATGTGAGATATGAGCTTAGTTTTTCTTCCTATTGCTACCTCCTTTTCTTAATGTCTTAATGTGCTTCAATAGCTTTTAGAATCAGCTTTTACTGTTATAGTTTGAATAATTAAGTTTGGGATGGGAAAAGAGTCCATGAAGTGCCTACAGTAACTCCATTGTTTTCACGATTTGCTGCTGTCTGCTTTGCTCTTGACCACCAAAGCTGAGAGAGATCTCCTGGCTCCAGTTTGTTTTCTTTTGCAGTGATATTGAGATTTCCCGAAGACAGACTCCAAAAGCTGTTGATGTCCTAGCCAGGGAGATAGGATTGCTCACAAATGAAATTGAAATCTATGGCCAAACCAAAGCCAAAGTACGTCTGTCCCTGCTGGAAAGGTTAAAGGATCAGCCAGATGGGAATTACGTGCTGGTTGCTGGGTAAGAAATATTTAGTTTCATTCTTTTCGCTTGCACTCCCTTACACAACACACATGCAACTTGTATTTTATTCAATAGGTGTGCTTTTTCCACTGCTGGACCTCCTGATGGCATCTGGTATTTTTGGCCTGGATGGGCCATTGGCCTGATCCAACATTGGCTTCTCTTATGTTCTTATGTTCAGATTTAACTCACAATACTTTAAAATATTCTCCCTCCATTACTGAAAATGGTATTTTTTTCCCATCTACTTAAGATCAATGCAGCCTTATTCCATTTTGTGACCATGGAGGATAATAATTTTTATGGATGGTAGATCTAATTAAGCTATTTAAAGCAATTTAAAATAACCGTGTGAAGCAATGTGATTTTTCTTGTCTTGTGGGCTCAAAAGTATTTTGTTGCTTGGGGACTGTTTTTCTTGATAATAATTTAATAATTAATAATGTAATTTAATGACAGTGACATAGAATTTACTGGTACTGTTAAATATTTTTATTGACTAGAAAACAGATAAGGTACATATAATTCCTGGGGATTTCAGTCTAGGCATGTCTCCAGTACGGCTTATCCTGGTCCCTGAAAATCTTTCCCCATGATATCTTTCAAAAGATCCTGTGCCAACTAAAATTTGTCACCATTTTAGAGCAGAATACCTCTGCTCCCAAGGCATGCCCATGGTTCTGTGTGAGCTCTTTCCTAAGTGAAATCACTCAGGCACAGAAGTTTTTGCATTTCTGACAAGTATTTGGGGATTAAATTAAACTAAAACGCAAAACTGCTGGATGGCTTTGATGAACTGAATTTTTTTCCCTCAGCAGTTGAAGATCTTTTTCTCACTCTCAGCCTTCCCTGACATCTCCCAGACCCCTCAGCCCTTAACCCACAGCATGCTGTGTTGTTCTTGCTGTCCAATTATGTGCTGTCATGAGCAGAGCTCTCTGTTCTTGAATGTAGAAAGAAGTTGTTTACAGACATGGAGGGTCCAGAGGTAAGATATATAAAAAACAAAGAACACAAGAACTGACCCAATGACACATAGCAGTATGCCTCTTCTATTGTTTAACTACGTGCACTCGTGCTTTAGAGAGCTCTTTTTCCTTTGGGAAGGAGCAGCAGCAGATGGAGAATAGAACAGGATGCCGATCCTTTCTTTGCATCTGCTTCTCTCTCTGCTCCAGATCCCCTCCCCTTTTTCAGGTGCGTGTTTGTGAGGGTAGTAGGAACCCCACTGATACAGACATTGTGGGGGACTGTTGGCACAAATAAACACTGGGTAGGGGAAAAGTTAAGCGCCACATCCACCTTACCACTTCTGTGTTTTAAGTGGCTCCCTTCCAAAGTGGCTTATTTTGCATAGGGATAAGGCCTTGAAGTACTCATATAATTCCCCCCCCCCCAAAGGGCTAAGTATTTCACAAGCCTTTTGAAACGATGCATCATCCCAGGGTTTATTCTAAATCCAAAAACCTGAAGATTAGCAACAGATGCTGTGCAGCTTGGTTCTCAGGCTTAGTATGCATGCCAGGTGTGTTTTGTAAGCTGCTCCTTCCTATATGGTAAGCCATGGATGCTCCTGTTGTGCTCTGAATTTTGTGTGTTCTTCTGCTTCATTATTTCACTGCATGTGCTTCCCCTGCTTTGATGGTGGATGCCCATCTACTACATGCATATTACCATTGGCAGTGGGGATATGAGCACCAAGGTTTTATGTGCCCTGCTTGCTTTTATCATGCTTGATAAAATCCAATGAATAAAGCTGAGTTTATATATAGCAAAACCAGCCAAAACTCCAATCCAAAGCAGGTTTTCACCTTTCAACAGTCATTGAAATTAATGGACTTAGGTGTGCACTGCTATTTATTTTATTTATTATCAAATTTATATTTTGATAATAAACACTTAAGTTTCATTGACTGCAGCAGCACAGAATTAAGCACACACTTAAGTCTTCTATTAAAATGAATTATTTTTTTTTACTCCACATATCATGGTGCTGAGTGGCTACCAATGCATCTGCTAGCAAAAAAAAAGTATAAAACATGGAATTTTGTATGTGCTTAGCTGTGGCATTGTCTTTGTCTTCTGCATTTTCTGTATTCAGGAGATTGGGGGGAATAAAAGGTGCAGATTGTAGCAAAGTTATGATTATGTGGTTGTTTTCTGTGATCATCTCTAAATATACATGAACAAGTGGAAGACCCAGAAGGACTCAGGTCATCTAATTTCCCTTTCCCCAACTATTTCCCCTTTCCCTTCCTTGAAGGCCCTCATAGTCTCCCTTTTCCTGCTTTCTTCTCTCCTTCCCACCCACCAGCCAACCTACTTGTATCTGCCTCCATGTCCATGTCTTCAGATGCCCCTCCTTCCTTCCCCAAGCAGCCTCTGCCTGGTAAAACTATGGCCCACTTGTGTGGTGGGGAACCCATAATGACTTGGGGGGGGCTCATTTTCCCATAATCCCCTTCCCCACACTACTTTCCTTCCTTTTGGCAACCACCATATCACCTTTCCCTTCTTCCTTGTGTCCTTCCCAACCACCAACCAAACTACCTTTTATCTGCCCCCATTTTCAGCTATATTTATTCTTTCATTTATACCTGTTGGATCCCCAAGCATCGAGAATAAATCCACGTTTTCAAGAAAAGCAAAATTTATTTCAAAGCGTTGAAGACATACTCAAACACGTTCTTTGTTAGAACTGGGGATACACAGTTAGGTCAAGCATAATAAAGGAAATTCAAACAGATACAGATCCAATGAATAGCATTCCCGCTGGCGGGCTAATGAAACGGTTGCGCGCCCAGTCCATGGGAACCAGGCAGAACATCAGACAAAACACAGGTGCAGTACTCATGAGAAAAGCAATAGGCAAGCATTACAGCATCTTCTCCCCCACACAACCTCCAGCAGTTATCTTGTGCATTCCAACGCAGGAGCAGGATGATAGAAAACAAGCCGGGTGCAACAGGGAAAGGATATGTACACAGAGGTCACAGAAAACAGAATGGCAGCTTGCTGACATACTGCCCCCCTTAAAATACACTTACAACACACCTCCCGGGTCGGGCGGGAGATCTCCCGGGCTGGGCGGGAGACCTCCCGGTTTGTCCGGGAACCTCTTGTGGAAACTACGGATCAGGTAAGGGGCCCGAATATCCCCTTCTTCCACCCATTCGCGGTGCTGGGGACCGAAATCAACCCATTCGATAAGGTACCAGAGTTTACCACGTTTCAATTTACAATCAAGGATATCAGCGATCTCAAAATGTTCATCCCCTTCCAAAATGACAGGTGGAGGAGGAGTAACTGCTGGTCTCCAGGGAGACGGGCCAGGATCCTTCTTCAACAGGCTCATGTGAAAAACAGAATGCAGAGCACGTAAATTCTTAGGCAAAACAACATCAACCGCCACATCATTTATGACTTTACGCACTTTGAATGGACCAATGAACTTCCACCCCAATTTCCTGCTAGGTCGCAGCATCTTAATGTTCTTGGTCGAGACATACACAAGATCCCCAGGTTTCAGATCAAACCCCACCACCCTACCCTTGTCTGCCTGGGTCTTGTAAGCAGCCTTGGCTGCGTCAAGCGTTTGGCATAGCAGAGGCCATGCATTTTGCAAGGACATACACCATTTATCAGCGCCCCCCACAGGACGTTCCCCCATCCCTTCGAGGAAGGGGAGGGGGGGCTGTCGTAACCAGAAACAGCTTTATAAGGAGACATGCCCGTGGAGCTATGGACAGTATTGTTATAACAATATTCAGCAAGAGGCAACAATTCACACCAATCATTCTGTTGATAATTAGTAAAACAACGAAGATATTGCTCCAGGGTCTGATTAACTCGTTCTGTTTGTCCGTCAGTCTCAGGATGATACGCGCTGCTGAGCCCTTGTTCCACCCCTAAAATGGAAAGAAGTTCCCTCCAAAACTTAGAAACAAATTGGGTCCCCCTGTCAGAAATTAATTTAGCAGGTAATTGATGAATTTTCACCACGTGAGACATAAACGATTTCGCCAACCTCTGAGCTGTAGGCAAGGAAGGAAAAGGCACAAAATGAGCTTGCTTAGAAAATAAATCAACAACCACCCAAATAACAGTGTTCCCTTTGCTCGCAGGGAGGTCAGTAATAAAGTCCATGGACACCACTTCCCACGGTCTCGATGGGGTAGGGAGTGGCTGCAGAAGACCAGGAGGCTTGCCCACTCTGGGTTTAGTCAAGGCACAGGTTTGGCAGGACCGAACAAAAGTCAAGAGGTCTTTGCGCATCTGTGGCCACCAGAACTGTCTGCGGATGAGTTGCAGAGATTTAACAAAACTCCAATGCCCTGCCAGTTTCGAACCATGAGCAGAATCCATCACCTCCCTCCTCATCGAAATAGGCACATACAGTTTGTCTCCAGAATAAATCAGACCTTCAGGGCTACGGACACAATCTGGCAACGCTTTCAGGGAGGCATCATCATCAGCAGTAAAAGCAGACATATATTTCTGGACCCAGCCCCCCCCCCCCCAGGGAAAAGGGAAGGCGAAGTTTCATCAGAGCGCGGAATCGAGCGCGCTTGCGCACGGGTGACCACAGCCCCCCCCAGGTGGGAGGGGGAAAAAACAGAGTCCATGATGATTTCACGCTGACTGTCATGTTGTGGGAGGCGTGAGAGCGCGTCAGCCAGGGAATTAGCCGTCCCAGGGAAATGACGAAGAGTGAATCGAAACTTAGCAAAGAAGTCCGCCCAACGAAGTTGTTTAGCGTTGAGAGAACGGGGGGATTTCAGCATTTCCAGATTTTTATGGTCAGTCCAGACTTCAAATGGCAGTTGCGCCCCCTCCAACCACTGCCTCCAAGTGGAGAGAGCCAGCCGGATCGCTGATGCCTCCTTCTCCCAAATCCCCCAGTTTCGTTCAGCGTCAGAAAACTTTTTAGACACAAATGCGAGGGGGTGTAAACGACCATCTTCCCCTTCTTGCAAAATAGCGGCCCCCATTGCCAC